ATCTATCGTGATCTCGATCCGTAGTGAATCTAGTAATGCTGAGGTTTTGATGGAGCAGCATCTCAGCGAACTCGCCATTGGTAATTCTTTGAGCACCAAGGGTCTCCTTTCGCTCAATCCAAAGATTGTATATTGACTCTCTTAATTTCAGCGTTTTATACCTTCTGGTCGTCGTGGATGTCCCTTCCTTGGCTGGCTCGTTGCCATTTTGAGCTCAGAGACCCACACAAACTAACATGATAACGCTTTCAAAAACAGCAATCATTCGAAAATAACCAACCAAAAAACAAGTATAAGAAGCGGAGATAATATTTATGGAAAGACATGACTTGTTTAAAGCAGAAAACACTCAATGCAAATGGATGGAAATTCTCAGAAAGTAACTCTGCCTTCTTTTGGGTGCCCAATAATGGCTGATTGACTGGGTGGGTCAGATTCTTTAGGTTTTTCCCAAACATTTCTGGATACCAGTGTGGAAATTACGTCTTTGCTCCGTTCGTAATTTCCAAGACATTCCAAGTTCACATAAACACTTAAGAGATTCCTCGAGAGCAGAATTAAAACTAACAATACCACTTTCGACAGAGTTCACCATGTTTCTTTCCCGCACAAATCAAAGGAAGGAATTTGACTGGTGATTGACAGACAATTGACAGATAGGGTCAAGCCGCACCAATCAGAAACTCCATTCATGGGCGAATGGAGTTTCTTTAAAGAACAACGAACTCGGGCAGCCAAGATTTTCTTTGCCCCACCCCATCCCCTATCCTTTCTCTTACCTATCGTTCACCCCCTTGGTAGAACTTCTCTCCAGCCTTCCACTGCATGAAAAATTCACTTTTACGATGTGAGGGCTCGCTTGAAAAAATCTCGCCTACTCTGCAGGCTAATCTTCTGTGGATCAGGCTGGAGACCTTCAGCACCTATGATATGGCCAAAGAAGGGAATTTGAGTGCACCTGAATTTACATTTGTTCAGGTTTAAGCAAAGACCAGTCTCGCAAGCACACTAAAGAACAGCACGAAGGTCTTCATCATGATCACTAAAATCACTGTTGTGGCTATACACAACATTGGTATCCACAATTCCAGTGACACATGGTAAATTACCAAAGTTTTTGTCTACCTTCCTTGGAAAATGTCCTGGGCACAAACTAGGCCGAAATGCAGACATAACAGTCTGTATCTTCCAAACGGTGAATTAAAGGTTGTCAAAAGTGAGCTCTCCTGGGTAACCTTGATATTCCAGTAACCACTGCGTGCATCAAGAATTGTGAAGCATTTAGCACCATTAAGTTTAGGTAGAACATCCTCTAATGTAGGTGTAAACTAATGTGGCCTCTTGATAGTACAGTTCAGATCTTTAGGGTCCAAGCAAAGCTGCAGTGCACCAGTGCTCTTAGCAATGCATACAAGGGAGTTGACCCAGTCAGTAGGATCAGTAACTTTTGCTAAGATTTGCTAAACCAATGAATCAAGTTCCTTCTTCAAGGGCTCCCTGAGAACCTCTGGAACTCTTCATGGAGAGTGCATAACTGGGGGAATGGCAGGATCAACTGTAATGTGATATTTGCCCTGAAAGCAACCAACACCTTCAAAGCAATCATTGAACTGTTTGAGCACCTGCTCTTCAGCAACTGGATCTGGGTTGCACATAGGTTGAGGTGGAGTGCTTGGCTTGGAAGCCCCTTCATGGTTTGTGATACTGAAATTCATGGTTATCAGGTTCAAATCTACACAAGTTGGCAGGCCTAATATGTTGGACCATCAGCATCAACAACATGGAATGGGCATGATTTACAGGAGCCACCATAATCCAGTTTGAGTAGTTGGTCATCAAGTGCCATGATGACCAACAGCATGTCCACCAAACGTAGTGATGATGGTGCTAGATGGTGTGAAGCTAGTGGGAATCCCACCAGGGTTACAGTATGCATTTGGGAAGAGCGACTTCTACGTACTCAGAGAGACAACGTTTCCCTCAGTGTCAGTATCAACCTTACACAAGAGAGATTTCTTACAGTGATCTGAGACCACTTCCACCTTTGGGAAGGCTGCAGTGTCATTCTTGGTGACTTGATTAACTGACAAGGTATGGAAGTATAGCTGATCTGGAAATGATGTTTAGGAGAGCTGTTTTCACTTTG